TGGGCCTAGGAGCCCAAGTAGGCCTCCTCATGTGGGCCTAGGAGCCCAAGTAGGCCTCCTCATGTGGGCCTAGGAGCCCTAGGATACCCTACAAACAGCTACGGACCCGAGAACCTTCTCCATTCTCTTTGCGATGCGTTAAAGTGAAGGACAGACGGCACATGTTGAAGAGAGCTCCTTAAACTGCAGGGAAATTATCTTCTTTCCTTTGAAGTACCGCACAACGGGCTGGAAGAGCATCGCATTGTGTGAGAGTGTACCTTTATTATCATTACACCCCCCCCCCCATTTGAAGAATAAACTCTCCCTTCTCCAAGCAGCAATCTGCCCATCCATTCATATAGTCCATCCGTGTAAAAAGGAGCTGTCCAGGAGTCATTGTCCTTAAACTATATCTGCAGAGAGCGAGACATGGTGGATGGTGGCGGGGGGGGTTGCTGTGGCGTATTCTGAGGGCCTCTGGGGGGGGGCACTGTGCAGGATCCAGCCCGCTATGAGCAGCAGGTGATTCCTGTCCTCGCCGTTCCGGTTAGATGGTTGCTCCTGGGTCCAGTTATCGAAATCCCCTCGACTGGCCACATCCCGCTTGCTGCTCCAGCTCCCTAACTAACTTCAGCTGTCTCACTCGGTCAAGGCGGCAGAGTCAGTGAGCTGGTATGAGCCTGAATCAGTGCCTACCTGTCTGTGACTAAAAACTTTAGTAAAATGAATCTGGTTACCCAATACCATTTTCCACAATATTCCTTTTTGTTGCCCAATCTAAGGTACAACAGAAATTCCCACACACCAAAGACTGATATCTGCTCCTGTTGTCTTGTGAAGCAGGATGTGCTTTCTTCCCCCTTTAGTCTTGAACACTTTAGTCCCAAACACTTTAGTCCTGCCACAATCTCTGGTCATGTGACAATCACCAGTCATGTGACCAGCCTGAAGGTAGTTTCCTGTATGGTGTGAGCAGATAACTAGAAGTTTCCTAATCTAATCGCTGAATAATTTCCAAGTCTTCTGAAATTGATTTGGCATGTTTCTAAAATTTTTGTTTTCGCTGAAAAAAAAAATTATATCCTGCAGCGGGGGTGGAAGGTTCACCTTCCAATAATCTGAAAGCCTCTTTTCTAAGCACCAAATTACGTGCACAGTAACATGACAAAGGCAGAGAAACGCAGACGGCGTTTGCAGAAGGCACCCTTTACAGCGTGCACAATTTAACTGAGATGCTCTCATCATTACAAACCAGGAGTTTGACAGGGTGCGGAGAATATTCCTTTCCCTTAATGAGTAATGTTGCAAGGAAAAGCCAGTCCTTTGTTTGAGAGTGTGAGCATTTAAAACAATATGCAGTCCTACTTCATTCTGTCTAAACTGCTATGTCTTCAGTGGGGTCTCCCCTGTGTTTCATTCTTCCTGCCAGTAGAGGGCGACGAGCAGCTTTGTGTTGTAGTGACCTAGATGTATGTGAATGGGGGGCATCAGTGGGGGAACAGGGGGCCTGACTGTCATTTATTAACAGTTATGTGTTAATAACCCCCCTGCTCTGATTGCTAAGGTCCTGGCTCCTGGGGGGTACGATACCCAACTGATCCTTCCTAATGCACTGATGTATAACTGCACTTACAGTGCAGCGGGGAAGGGGGGGGGGCTATCCCTGTGATTGCTGTTCTCTGGCCCCATTGTCCACCCCTGGGCTCTCTGCCTGCTTTTTTTAGCATTACCTCTGTTCATTTATCCTCCCCTGCTGTTTGTCTCATGTCCGTGTTGCCGTTGTACCCGGTCCCACAGCTAGAGGGCGGGATGCCTTGTGGCCGGCCTGCTCCAGCCTAGCAGTGCGGGCTTTTAGGACGGGGGCTCGTTCTGTACGGCCCTCGGCAAGCAGCAGTTGGCCAGGTCGCTTTATTTCCGGGCTGTGCGGTCTGCCGTGTCGTGCGGTTTCATGGCAACAGATGTAAGTTCTGACTCTGCTACCCGACAGGCCCTGTGGTCCCAGGTCCCTGTCTGTGGGGAATGTGGGATTGTGGCTCCATGCTTCCTGTTACCTGACTGATAAACCAGCAGATCTCCGCTTGTGCCTGGGATCACGTTAAGCCGGGTCCCGCGGCGCCGCCACTGGACTCTCTCTGCCCCGTTGCCGTCGTCTTTGGATCCGGCCGCCAGCCAAAGCGCTTCCGGCACCTGAAATCCGCCGCAATCCGGACAGGTCTGGACGGAGGCATTGCTGCGCCTTCCTGTTTACTGACACAGGTTCCCGTGCACATCTACGGCTCGGCGGCTGCGGGGTAAGCAGGCCTGGGAGGATCACGCATGCTGCTGGAGGATGAGCAGGATCTCAGCACAGCGTTCAGATCCTGCCGACCTGAAGCAGCAAACCGGTGCATGGTTGAAGGACACTGATTTCAGGAAAAGCAGGACAGAAAAACCAATATGTTTCAGCTTTAGAGCGGACAACCTCTTTGACCACCAGACCAGGCGTCCTAACGACTGGCAGGTATAGAGTTAAAACCCCAAGCCTCAGACTGTTGGCTCCTTTCCAGTTTTCCCTACTCACTGCTGCCCACTGCAGGTGGAAGCCACTTTGATCTCCGATCACTTGTCTATTTTATTTTTTTTTGTTTTTTCAGCTATAGGATCGCTTGGGGAATCGGAACCCCAGCGGCTTGTTTTGGTTCTGATCCGGCCGTCCCTCTGCTGCCGCCGCTGGCGGGGAAATATTAGACAAGGGGTGGCAAGTAAACAAAAGCCGGTCAGTCGCCCCCATTTGTGAGCCGGGTGACACCCCCCCCCCCATTTGAAAACACTCTCTAATAAAGATGTCTGAGTGGTTACCGGGGGCCCTGTCCTCACGTCTCTCCCCTCCAACTGACACTGAATTCCTGTGACTTTAGAAGTTTTTTCCGCACCCAAAATTCGCGTGAGAGCTGGAACAGTTTTTGTGCCCTTGTGAAAGCCTTTGTCAGACTTAGAGAAGAAAACTTCCTTCGTTGAGATTTTTTTCTGCACTTCTGTTATAACATTCATGTGACACTTTTTGTCCACACCAACTTACAGTAGAGGAAAAGGTTCCGATTTCCGTCTGCTTTGTGGGCTGGAACCCACAACCTTTGTGTTCTTAGTACATTGGGGTCCATGTTGAGCTGCAAGATAAACTTTAAACCTTTGTAAATTTTTCCCAGATTGGTTTGAGTAGTCAGGGTGCCTCACACCCTGAGTTATAGGTTCAAATCCCACCTCTGCTGTGTGGAGTCTGGATATTCTCCCCGTGTTGTACGTGTTACTTACATTTTCCTTCCGCAATCCAAAGACATGCTGTTTGGTATCTCAGAATGACCTGTAGTGTATGACTGTGTTTGTTTATGTATGTGCCCTGTGATAGACTGGCATCACCAACCCCTGCCTTTTGGCTCCCTGGTAAAGGCCCAAGGTCTCGCTGCCACCCTAACCAGTAAAACCAGTAACCAGTTATCTTCCCACTTTCTGTCCCATGCCCTTAAAAGCTATGCTATATTTGCACCCCTTGAGCATAGGAGCCCCCCCCCCCCCCACCACCGAGGCTTGGATGGACAGTAGGACCCGCTAGAACATGCTGGTACTGCCCCCCCACCTTGCTTTACGAACAGCTGCCCTTTCCTGCGTGTACAGACCCCCCCAGGGCCCTGACTGTGTGGTCACCGCATGTGGAGACCGTAAAACGAGCCACATTTACCTAAATCACGCTGAGTCGCTGTCATACCTAAGTATCCTGGTTTCCTGGTAACTGTCTGAGTACTGGGTACTGGGCTGCACCATCATACACCTGCTGGGTCCACCCACGGCTCGCGTGGGGCGATAGCATCGCAGGAGATCTTCACCCACCTTCTGGATGTAGGCCAGCCTAGTTAGGTGGTTCAGATTCAAAGCCACGTTCGCTGCTCGACATTTCATCTACAGATCATATGCGAAAAGAAGCTCGGCTGGTGCCGGAAGGCTGGTCATCGGCGTGCTTCAGTCACATGAGCTCAATAGCGCAAACCGGGCCGAAAGGGGCGGAGTCTGTTTGAAGGGGAAACTGATGGCGGCGCCCGCCAGCAGCCGTGCCTGCGAGCCGGCTTGGCGGGGGCGTGCCGGAGACGGGCGGCGCAGCCGGGAATGCTCACTCCCGTCGGCAGAGCAGCGGCCGTCCCAGGAGGGGGCCGGAGTCCCTATCGCTGCTAATTCTGCTGTTACCGCCGCCATGATATCTGCTTAGAGGCAGGTAATTACTGTTCAGAGAGGGTCTGGCAATGGGGGGGGGGGCAGCGTAGCATTAGTGTACCAAAGGGGCTGCATGTTTTATACATCATACACACTGGTTTTTCAGCACAGTGATGGGTGTGGGGGGGTGGGGAGGGCAGCCGCGTGACAGTGTGTGGGGGGGGGGTATGTTACTCGCTGATATCATTAACTGGTATTTCCCATTAGTTTGTCGTTTTGATTTGCCAGGGGGGAGGGGGTCAGTGTAATAAATCATGCGTGATTGACGCCTGCCTCACAGAGGCCAGACAGATGCCCCCCCCCAATCCCCATATACAGTTACTAGGTGACAGTTTGAGATGCGGGCCGGCTGATTGGTTCCTGTGCTTTAGGGATAAACTGAGGCCTGTCACAGGCTAACTAGCTCCTTGACGCCTCGCCGCTCGCCTGTTTCCTCGCCTCCCATCTCTGGCAAACTCTCTCTCGTCGTTTCTGCCATAATCGTCTGTGGCGTCACTGGCTCCCCCGGCTGGCTCGCCAGTGTGCCTGCGGCTCTCGCTCATCCCGCATCCTGTTCGCGGAGGTGAATCCTGCTCCCTTTTGGCCGTTTCTTGCTGGTGATAATAGGCCTCGCTCAGCAGGCCCTGTAGGCCTGCCTCTTTGGACAGGGCCGAAAGGTTTTTTTTAAAATAGCATCACTGGAACATATTCCGCTGTCACCTCCCTGCTCTTTTCTCTGGGAGTTTGTCTTCGCAAACGGTGAGGCGGGGAGGAGTGCGGAGCCACAGCCAGGCAGTGCGCACTGTAGCGTGAGCAGCTGCAAGGCCAGGGTTCGCTTTTTCAGGAGCTCGGTGGTGCATCGAAGGGGGCGGAGCCTAAGCACCAGCCAGCGTATCACGTGACAGGAAGTGTGAGCCGATGTTAAGGAAATGGCAGTGTAGCGAGTGCCGGAGTGTCTGAGAGCGATGCTTGGCATCTCACTCTACCAAGAAAGGATACCTGGTTGGTCAATTTGTTCCTCCATTTTATTCAGCACCATTGTGAAAAAACCGTTGTGAATGGGTTGCTTCTGCAGTTCTTCACCCTCCTGCGTTACTTTTCCACGTGACCTGAGGAATCTCGCAGGGAAAGATGATTAGCAGAGACAGGATGGCCTCCCTGTGGATGCACCGCTTTGTCTGGCAAAGTGGGCGGCGTGAAATGGCTGTACTGCAATTGACAGCGATCCCTCAGCTCCCAGAGGCAGCAGGGAGGGGAGGGGCACGCACTGGCTGGGGGGGGGGGGGGGTTTACAGTGCTGCATGGAGATGACCCAGTGCCCGTCTCTGTCCTCTGCTCCTTCCAGCTGGAAGCCGGACTTCACAACCCCGTGCAGTGCGCCTTGCTGGGGCTGTCAGCATCCAGCACCTCCCTGCCTCAGGGGTACCTGTGGGTGAGTCAGCCTCTCGGACACACTGCTGAATATTCTGCTCAGGCATACACACGTGTAGTACCTCTGGATGAAAGGACTGCTCTGTACACACACACACACACACACACACACATGAGCACACAGACACAGGGCAAGAGTTACACACGTAACCTCTAGTTATGTTCTTCACATACTGACCTTACCTCTGCATGAATACACACACACACACACACACACACACTTTTTACATTTTTAGTGTACTGATTTCAGTCACATATTTTTATACAATTGAGTTTCCTCTTGTGGGAACTGAAAAAAAATGGTCCCCACGATGTCAAAGCGGCAGATTTTTATCAGACACACACACACTGGGAAGTAGCCCGGGGCTCCATGTTGTGTTGGGACAATTTTTTTTCCCATTGTTTCAGCAGCATTTTATGCTGTAGCTGGAGCCCCAACAATAACATAGATCAGGGGCCCCCATCCCGCTAATTTCGGCCCCGTTGGTGCCTCGGGTGCCGCAGTGAAGGGGCATGATGTTTAAGATTTATTCTGCTCTGTGGCAGGAACATTAATGTCAACGCTGATTATCAAGCATCAAAATAAGCAGGAT